GGCTTCACTCGTTCACTGTGACGTAGGCGAGGGACCCGAAGCTTATTGTCCTACAAAACTTGCTTGATGTGTTGGAGCTCGGCGGCCAGGTGTTTACTGTCACAGATCCCTCGTGCTCTCTGAAACAAAGATTTACCCACGGTAGCTAACTATGAAGGGTGGTGATGAGAATCACCGTTTAAATATCTATCTGTATGGGTCTTTTTTCTATACACAGTGTGGCTCAAGGTGTTATCAGGATTCCGAATTACTAACACATCTAGAAAAGCTAAAGAATTGTTTGCCGTGAGGTGTCTCTGATAACACTGGCTACATCTTGAAGCGTAATTCAATTAAAAAACATACTTCAAGTCGCCGAAGAAGATTAGTCAGTTTTTACCATCAGTCAAGTGTAATGTCCCTCTGCAAACTATGGCCATTGGGACGTCATACACGTCAGTCCCCCCCGTGACCATGGGTGCTGTAAAGTGCTCGAAACGTCGGGAATATAAAATAAGTTCATATACGCGATAAAATCCGTAAAATTAGTTTTATACTACAATGTATTTAATTATTAATTATACATTTTTGTAATTATTAAAAGTAATAGAATCACCCGAGGCAAGTGTGACATAAATTAATTAAGACCAAAATGAACATTTAAATACTTCTACTCTGTAAGGGTTTAACATAGATAACTCCGTTTCAAAACATCAATTATTAAGTGGTTGTTTGTTTGATCAAGCATTTTATCAAGTATCTATAAGTAATATTTTGTATATTGAGGTAATTAAAACTAATTAAGGTGGAAGATCCTTATGGCAGAATCGCTGGAGGACCTAAGCATTATGCTCAATGACCTCAATAGTGTCTCCCAACAGATAGGTCTTAAGATGAACATGGACAAGACAAGACAAAGTTTGTGTTTAATGTCCATGTCACACCTATGCCGGTAGTTGTTGGGAACACTAAGCTCGAAGTTGTTGACGAGTATGTTTACCTGGGACAAATAGTCCGACTAGGTAAGTCCAACTTCGACCGAGAGGTCAATCGACGGATTCAACTCGGTTGGGCAGCGTTCGGGAAATTACGGCACATCTTCTCGTCAGGTATACCTCAAACCTTGAAAACGAGACTGTACACCCAGTGCGTGTTGCCAGTGATGACATACGGAACTGTGACGTGGTCCTTCACTGCTGGCCGGATGAGGAAGCTCAAGGTCGCTCAGCGAGCTATGGAGAGGGCTATGCTCGGAGTTTCTCTGCGTGATAAACTTAGGAATGAGGATATCCGCAGTAGAACCAGAGTAACCGACATAGCCCAACGGATTAGTAAGCTGAAGTGGCAATGGGCCGGCCATATAGCTCGAAGAACCGACAACCGATGGGGAAGAAAGGTTCTCGAGTGGCAGCCTCGTACCGGTAGGCGAAGTGTAGGGCGTCCCCCCACGAGATGGAGTGACGACCTGGTAAGACATGCAGGAAGTCGATGGATGCAGGTGGCTCAGGACCGTGCTTTGTGGCATTCTTTGGGGGCCTATGTTCAGCAGTGGACTTGTGAAGGGCTGTAATGATGATGATGAATGATGAAGGTGGAAGACTAACAAAACCTATATAATACTAATGTCAACATATTTTATGGTCTATTTGAACGATTTGAACGTCTTTTTTGTGTAACAATGGATTTTTCTACGCATGGGGTAAGTGTGACAGTTTTAACCGATATAGTGATGTGCCTATAAATGGATTTATGTCACACTTGCCCTGGATGTTTTGAAAGTGTAAAAAGAACAATGCAAAAAAATTACTTTAATTCCACTTAGTTGCAAAATATGGGAAGAATGATATTATGGTAGTTTTAGAAGGGCAATATTGTTTTCGTTAGCCTTTATAATAAAATTTAAGTCAAGGTGTGTTGAATGGCAATATTACAAGTTGTGGGTTGCCTGATTTGCATATTTTCAGGATCAGTACATTTGAAAAGTAACTTTAAAAGACTGAAGGCATCCAACCCTTTGGCGTGGCGGCAAATGCCGAATTAATCGAATTATCATCAGGTAACCATGTATTCCAAAGATACGTTCCTTTAGAAATTGTTAATGGAGGAACTTTCTAGCCCAGGCATTGCATGCGAACAATAGAGTTGTATTATCACGACCTGGTGAGCTACTGGTTCTTGTGGCTTGGAAACCTTTTAGGCCATTTATTTTCAACTTTCCAGGGTCTTGAAAGAAACTTGTTTCATCAAGATTCCATTATTTGTTCACTTTTGAATTGTTGCTTTTGTACGACTGTCTCAAGCACATCGTTGAGCTCGTTGGGAAATACCAGTCGGCAGCTTATCTTCTTGCGATTTGACGGCTTGAGGATTTACGGCTTAATTTGGAAAAATATAAGGTTTATGATTCATAGATATTTACAAATGTTAAATATTATTTAATGTTATACAAATGTAAATGTAAAGTCAATCTGAAACCGTCTAATTAGAAAAATTATATTATTCAACCCTTTTGACACATCCCTCCATGTCTCAAAAATCACCAGTTTTATATTTGTATTATATATGAACATTTTATATTTAATTGAGATCAGATAAGTCTTTCAAAAGTTATCACCGTACATACAAAATCATGCAGACATGTACATACAAACACAAGTACCTACTAACATACAAACACCGATTCGTTTAACGTGACTCTGAGATCTTACTCCCTTCGCTCGCTCGTTAATTAAGTATAATTATAAAAGTAAATACTTAAATATAAATACATACAAACACACAGGTAAACAGCATCCTCCTTTTTTGAAAGTCAGTTAAAAACAATATGCTTTCCTATCACTTCTCATACAAGATGATCGGGGTAAGCGTGACACAGTCACACTTACCCCGATGTTAGATATAAGATAAGGTACATGTCCGTATTTCAAGGAATAGTGGAATTCAGGTCACATAAACATATTACACTATAAGTACCAATATTATTCTTTGTCACGCACATTGTATCTTGTTTACAATAACTTAATGACGTATGGAAACACTTAAAAAATTCGCCTCTCAAAATTGCGCGGGCTTTCGCCAGTTGAGTAGTGAAAAAAATGACGTCTGTAGATAAAATAGTTGAAGATATGTACTTAACGTTGTTAAAGAAATGGCATTTAACCAAAAAAACATATTCATGCCGCATAATTTGCATTTGTCACACTTGCCCCACTGTCACACTTGCCTCAGTGTACCTTACTTATATGAAAAATAAAAGTCAGTATGTACTCCGTGTCCCCGTTTTTGATTTCACAGGCAAAACATTTTATAAAATATAAATAAGTATATACTTAATTATCTACACATTTTTACTACATGTTAACGTCAAGTTAAAAAAGAAATCCCGGGAAAACTGTCCATGGCAGTAAATTTTTTTCCAAAGAGCTGAGCGAGGAGAGTTCAGGCGCAGTACCTGCGACTTTACGTGCTTTTCGAGGCACGGGGGTAGAAACACCGCTAATTTCCTGACTCCGGGCTATTACTGGGTTGCTACTGTGAATTTCTTGAAAGAAAAACCCAATAACTGATTTTGGCTCGACAGGGATTCGAACCCGGGCTCTCATAATCAGCAATCTCGTTTACGGCCACTACACCAAGGAGAAAATCAAAGGACAAGGGGAAATATAGATCTGCAGGTTTGTTTTGTTTAAGTTAACGCGGACAAAGTTGCGGGTAAAAGCTAGTATGAAATAAAAATAGATTCTCCATAAAAAATGTATTAAGCGTCTCCCACACAGAAGCGGCTTGCGGTGGCGGCTAACCGCGGGCCGCGGCTGCAGCCGCTGCAACAACACACCACCGCGGCCCAAGTAGCGGCCTGAAGCGCCATTCGCTGAGGTGTCTGTGTTACGATCGGACGTATGAACATGACAAACCGTAACGAAGTTTTTATTATATTCAACAATATTATCATATATTTTGTTTCAATACTAATGCTTTTGTGATCACGATGCGAATTATCATAAAGTATTGGATAATTTTGCACTGTTTCTATTAAAATCTCTGTATTTAGCATCATTTTTCACGCGGTACACGCGGCCTGTTGTAAAAATTTACAACTGACCGCGTACTCGCTGTCACACGCGCATTGGCAAATGGGGCGGAGCATGCAGCTGCGGCCAGCCGCTCGCAGATCGCGACAAGGCCGCACGAGTTTGCAGGCTCACTTACATTACAAGCGAATACAATTGGCCGCCACCGCGGCCGCCACCGCAAGCCGCTTCTGTGTGGGAGACGCTTAACACAGACACCTCAGCGAATGGCGCTTCAGGCCGTCACTTGGGCCGCGGTGGTGTGTTGTTACAGCGGCTGCAGCCGCGGCCCGCGGTTAGCCGCCACCGCAAGCCGCTTGTGTGTGGGAGACGCTTTATGAGCAGATAAAGTGTATATGGTAACCTCGTGCCGAAAAACGAAGTATAGGGTGGCCTCCTTCTAAATTGAGTGACGACCTGGTAAATGGTGCAGGAAGTCGATAGATGCTGGTGGCCCAGGACCGTGTTTTGTGGAATTCCTTTGGGGAGGCCATGTTCAACATCGCACTGGTGATGATGAAGCAAATATAGTAAGAACATCATTCATGTCGAATACTTCAAGAAAATTAATTCGAACTGGTGGTTAGGATGTGTATTTCATTGTGGTGTAAGGGAGGAATATGCCAAGATTTGCTCAAAATAACACACAGCAGCTAAGGATCGTGTTCAGCCTTGGAGAGGTATATTTAGCAGTGGACTTGTGATGAGCTGTAATGATAATGATGATGATACTCACCATGGTGGGCAGGCGAGTTGTTGAGCAGAGCGTCGATACTCTCGGCACTGGTAATGCTGCTCACATCAACTATTATAAAGGTTTAGCATTCTTGGAAAATCTTTCCCCCATCAGTCAATCAACATAAAACTAACGATATCGTACACAACCATCTTATTTCCACCTTTGGCGTTCAGTAGCAGCCGTAGCTAAGGGATTTAAATAATACACAGATTCAAACGAAATATTTAATGCAATGAACTAAATCACTGATTGAAAAGAGTATGCCAACTTCCTGCGCACCCACTAAGCATAATCGTAGTAACAAATTACAAACTTGATAAAACACGATAAGTGCCTAATAAATATTAATTCTTTACCTAAATATTTACATAATACGATGTAATGGTAGTGACATCTTACATACTACAATCACCATTTATAGACTCGATAGGTAAATCCATAGAATCGCCACTAACGGCACGCAAAGAAATAGTTTATACAGCCGATACGTGCGTAATATATTCTGGAACCGGAGAGCTGGACGCCAATTCGAATAACGCGCAGCGTCGCGTTAGATACAAAGCTACTGCATATTGTTAATAATAGTTAAAGTAGGAAATCATGGCCTCTGAAATGATGCGGCTGCAACATTGCCCCATAATGCAAAATAATAATAAAAAACATGCTTTTAGAAGACTGGCATTAAATTTTTTTAATTTATACAAAACAATCTTTCCAAATGAGATAAGACAGGACAATGCGGATAAATATACGAGAAAGAGAGGGTAGCTCGAACAACAGGTTGTATATTTAGACATAATCTGCATCGACCCTTCATACATTACATACTTGAATAAAGGGTCAATATTTGTTTAAGAAGTAGATGCTTATAAGCCTTTCCCCCCAGAAGCATTACGGGGGTTCCTGCTACTCAGGCAAGGCCTCACCGCTAAAATGGTGTTGAGGCCGCGGTGACAATGTCGTATCAGTATTTTTATCGGCCGCTTTCTTCACCCTCCGAGGTCGATACTTGCTTAATGGTGGAGTCCTAGACCAGATACGTCGCTAGGGTCGTTGCACAGGTAGAATTAGCTTGAGGCCGTGTAGGAAAGCGCGTCTTACATGAGAAGGAATTGGGGGAAGCTTTCCTGATGAAAAGCAAATATACTAATCAACACTGACCTGTGGTCTATTGGTAGTTGCTTAAATCAGTATTTCAAAAATATTTCTTTAAAATTTCAGTCTCACAAAAGTATGTTACTAAATACTATCCCTCCTGGTAACTTTAGGTACACCTGACAAGTATTTGGGTACAAACACTTGTCAGGTGTACCTAACAGAAGTATCGCGTAATATATTACTTTAAGCAAAAGCATGTCATTTTTTTATAGTAATAAATTTGGGTGATAATTTTACAACCGCACTAAGCCCCCACAGATTGTTTTAATTCGAGTTATGTTAAATTAACAATATATCAAATTTTTGCTGTGTATCTAACACTTTAGTCAAAGTGGAGGCCAGGTCTAACAACATTCAGTATAAACACGCACATGATAAAGTAGAATCTAACATCTGACGATATTAGAAAACTATTTGTTCTTACTACATAGAAACTTTTATAAATTATAGAGTTACACACACAACAAGTATAATAGATAAGTGTTAAAATTGCAAATTACATCAATCCTAATTTCTTTAACATCACAAATTTTATCAATTGCTTTTACATTTATTTGGAAATAATTAAATTGTATTCTGTGTTAAGATATTGTAATTTTCACATAAACAATTTTGTGATAAGTTGTTTTAAGTAAGTACCATGTAAACAGATTTTAGGTAAATAAATTACTATTTTTACGATCAAGGTTTTATATTTTTATCTAATCTGAAATAGATACATATATAAACTAAATATCCATATTCAAAGCAATATATAATCAATATAATTAGAATCTAATCTAAGTCGTCAGCCTCGGGGGAAGCTCTGGGAGCAAGTTTCGTCGTACTCATTCCGTCCATATTCGATTGGGGCGGATCGTCATCCGATAAGTCTATGTTTTGCTTTCGTCTACGGTCTAAAGTTGAAGCGTCAACACTAGCCACGCTGACGCTAACTTTTTGATCATTAGCTCCGCCAGAAAAAAGTTCCTTAGTGTTTTCAAGATCGTCGGTAGCCGAGTTGCTGCTTTTTATGATTTTGATATCACTATCAGATTTTTTTCTAGCGACTTCCTCGATCTTAATTCCACTTTCGCCAATCGGATTTACAGAGTTGCTTTTATCGGAATTCCTAAGTTCATCATTGTAATTAGTGGATGTTAAATCCCTTTCCGAGTTTTCATTAGCTGAAGTTGTATTGGTACCACTCGCGTTAGTTTCAGTAGAAGTCGTGCTAGAAGATATAACTTCGTCCATATTTATAGTATTCGTTTGTGCTGTTGAAACCGAAGGTGATGTCTGAGTAGTAGATTGAGTAGTATTTTGAATTGTTTGGGTTGTCGATTGCGTTGTGGGTGGTGTAGCTTGTGTAGCTGTCCCGGGTGCGTCGTGGTAAGCAGCGCCACTTGCTAAGGCTGCAATTCCGGCTAACCCCATCATACCGCCCATACCGTGATGAGTACGTAAGAGTAGTTGTTGCAATTGCGCCTGTTGTAGTATTACAGGCAACTCGTAGTGATGGAAGAAGTACAACATGGAATGCTGTAAAAGAAAAACGCCAGTTAACCAAATGTTGTCACTATTATACACAAAATATGATTATATAAATGATCAAGTAAAATGAATATGTATTAAAATTTATTATGGTAAGTTTTATTTAAAAGTAAACACTGATGATGCTTATAATGTCTCCGATTTACAATATTTCCGAAAAATGTCTGTAGTTATTAACTGTTGAGGTAATATTACATTATCAAAATTTTATACAATATTTTAGTAAAAGTGGAAGAACATTCTAATCCAAAATGCTTACGTAATAGACTAAGTGCATTAAAGCTATGGAGACCACCCTTATCCTATAAAAAAAAAACCATCAGAATATAGACCAAACCAGACCCGAAAACAAAACACAAATGCTGTCTCTGACTGGAAAATGGACCAAAGCCCACCGATATCAATCGGGCCTAGACTCGTTCCAGTATAAATCACTCAGCACTTAGATAGTCTCACTATTAAACCGCCGAGCATCTAATGAAACGTATATGAGTAAAAGTTCTGTAGACAAATAAATGAGCGATTCGTGACAGTACTGCTAGTCCCGCCTTTATTTATTTATTTCTGGGTCAAAGTTCCCTTTCCTCCTACCGCCCGACGTAAGTTTTAATTAAGAAACTTGTGACCGCTTCGACTCAACTTTTATTTGAAATTATATTTTCTGATCCCCTCGTTTAGATTTTTTTCAAACAGCAGCAAGGTGTAACGGGTTACCGTCGAGGACAAGTTGGGACATTTTTATGATTTATTATTCTGAGCGTGCCGCCCGCCATAAGATAATTGAAAGAATTTTTCGCAATTCATATTTTTCCCGACAGTACGTATAATTTTTTACTTTTCGTTTTTACCATTACCTAACTCTACATACATTACATTATTTTCTTCGCCATACCAAGTTGATCATTCGGTTTTCTTCAGCGTTTTGAATGTAACTTTGTACTTAACTCTGTTTTCGTGATGCTAGCACTTGGGTTCGTTCAAGTACTGTATAATTTAAGGTTAGCACCATATCCCTGAGCTTATACGGCTTTTTTTAAAGAAAACAAAAAATAAATTTATCGCGATAGCCTCTGCTGAATATAAGCCACTCTTAAATTTGCGCTTATGTATTTTATAGCGGGCTGTAATAAGAATAATTTCATTTTGTTATAAACTTTTTGAAAATACAACATGGTAATATTTAATTAAATTTATTTGATCAATCTGGAATACAAAATATGTACAATCAATACAAAATATACACGATTGACAATCAGGCTGCAGACAAAACATGACGGAACCTTAATTAACACAAACCGTCCATATTCAGGATCAGGACGCGATCATCGCTAGCGTAAATATAAAAAGGGATCAAACGTTTAAAAGGTATTTAATGGACAAAGATACCCTTTTATGCATCCATTAAAATCGGCTGCTTTGAGATTTACCTCAACGCCTATTAAAAAAGTAGCCACGTAAATGGAGTTCAATTTTGTTTATCAATTTCACGTTTGTATGTAATTCCATAATGTAATCCTAAGGAAAAGATAACTTGTACCTTAAGCTATATATACATATTGTAACGGCACATTATTATTATTATTAAATAATAATTATATTCACTATAAAGTCATTTAAAATATAATATTTTGAACAATTAAAATGAGTTAATAAGCATCAATCAATGAAATACATTAATTTCGAACATTAAGTACTATAATAGTATAGGTAGTAAAGGCTTAATATTGTCTTTAAAACCTTTAAATGTATTAAAACTCTGCTTAAAATATTCGAAATGTGTTAAAAACTAGTCGATATAAGTATTAAGTCGATGATATTACAATAATAAAGATAAAAAAATTGTAATATAATTGAAACAAGAAAATGTGTGTTCTTGTAATGATGCCTTAGGGAATTATGGTAGCAAGGTGTATGAAATAAAGCAAATATGTGGAGGAACTCAAATATGTCAAAGCATTATATTGATAGAAAGGTGACTTGAAGAGGATTATTATAGTGGCGAGTAGATTGCTTCAGGGCGTCCCAAGACCGAGGTAAACTTCAACTCGCTAACGGATGGGTCCTAGGCATATCATCTTAGTGCCGATGGTAAGCGGGTTTGTTGTAGCAATACGACTTGCCCGTGGAAATCGCACAGCCCTACCGATTGTGGGCGGCATCTTAGCGCGTAGCATTATGATACGTCGGTCATCTTTCGGATTAGGGTGTGTGTGTTAATACTTTTAAGTGTAGCAAGCATACTCAACTCCATGTTTTAGTGCAATAGTTCTATGATACGTGGATTTTTGGCTACTTGCTTCTTAGTAGCGTGCTACTATGATACGGTGGTGCTATTTTTATTTAAAAACAATACTAAATTTGTTGCCAAAGTCGATAGGGATCATGTGGGTGTGTTGTGAGAGGGCGCCCTCCGTATGATAGTTGCATTGATGCTTACTGCTACTTGTGGTATTGGTTCTTGTGATGGATCTGCGGGTGTGCTGCGTGATTCGATGCATCTTGTGGTTCTAGTCGATGGAGGTATGCAGGTGGTGATATTTGCTAGGATTGTATGAGGGACGTTGGGATGGCGTAAGCCTGACGATAACCGTATTGATGCTTGTTGCGTTTTGCATAATTGAGCCTCTGCCAGGTTGTTTGGCGGGTCGCTATTCTCAATAGCGCACTCTGCGTCTTGGTTTGACGTACAACCCAAGTATCTTTGCTAAGGTCGGGTCCCTTCATTACGGAGCTGCAGACTGTCTAACTTCCATGGTGTTTTATATAACAACATAATAATGTATCTCTGTAAATTTCCCACCTTTGAATGATTTAAGGTAACTTGTTGGTGGGTGAGACAAACATGATCGAAAAATGCATATACTCGACGTCAGTGACACAAACCCTTTCTTTTTAACCTTTTGGCTATATCTGCCATTGTATTGGTTGGTGGAGCATATGTGTAGACCTCATGCGGGTGGTTAGCGGAGGGTGAATCTGAAGAGGCTCTCAAAGCTGTGGCCGAAACCCGCTCAACGTGGGACCCCAATCGCAAGAGGTGAGCAGTAGACTTATAACAGGCTCTGTGGCCAGTAGCCGTGCTGATCATCCAATTGGTGGTGATGCTTTACACTTACATCACGTCTGCAGGAGCGGCGGGTTGGCAGCTGGTGGCGCTCACGGGGCATTTTTATAGCCAGTGTGCCTATTATTCGACGTGTTGCCTAAACCGTGTGACGTATATTCGCTGTGGATGGATTTGATCGTATTCTGTACGGCGTTTATACGCATTGACATGCGCGACTTCGGTCGATTTTTATGCTTACGCACTACTTGCTGTGCTATTTTGCTGTGGTCCAGCTCCCAACTTAACGCCCTTTTCGGGTTGACCTCACACGGTGTATATCTGTATATTTTTATATAAATATTGTGAGCCTTCTCCAAGCGGGAAAAGATTCATTAATTAGGAATGGACTGGTGTGGACGTGACACAATTGGAATAGGGACGATTTTATGTTCTTAAACTTTATGAATCCTGTCTTCGTGAACGGTTTTTTAGCTTAAAATAATTATAAGGCACTACCAACAGCTTCAACAGCACTGCCCTAGTGAATATTCATTTTCCAAGAGACACCTAAAATAACTAAGTTACTAAACAAACAAAACGTAATAAGGGTCCTAACTAAGACGATCACGCCACAAATTCATTAAACGGCCTATAACTAAACCTTTACAAAGATTCTTGAGAATGATCAATAATTGGTTATTATACTGGTCACGTACATTTTGTATATTTTAAAGACGGCCTCTTGTTTTCCAATATCTTATATAGATGGGGGGAGGGGACTTGGGGGGAGAAAGTTACAATATGTGTGTATAAATGAATGCTTAACTACACAAACTACCTTAAATTATTTGTAAGGCGGAACCGAAATATCGTTTACTTTGTTTGCTACGGTGACATGTAAGAGAGTGTAAATAAAAAAAAACAAACAAAAAATTTCATTCAATTTACAATGAAAGTATTATCGAAGGGAATTCATTTCGCAATAACACCGCGAAGATTACCGTACGAAGAAATTATCTGCAGTGTCGAGGACTGTATTTAAAAACAATATGCGAAAGGAAGATAGCGATAGAAGCGATACGTCAAGACATTTCGTCTATGCTATGTCGAAGTTCAGTGCCGAAACCGAATTTACCCAAGGACAAATTTAGAGCGTTGAATAAACTATGCAATAAATCAGAACTCACGATTCTCCCCGCAGATACGTCAGATTATAATTCTAAAATACAAGAACTTTTATCGAATGTAAGCTCTTATAAAAAGGTTAAAAACGACCCAACAAATAACACACTTAAAACTACTAGTGACCTCAAAAAAAAAACACCGAAAAATTAAATCTGGACGTAAAATCAGTAATACCTATGTGTGCCAAACCACCGGAATCGTATGGGTTACCAAAACTTAGCGAATATACTCTCACCGGACTCAGGGAACATACATGAGTACACACAAAGCATTCCTACCATTTTGTCAGCGAGATTAAAGACCTACACCTGGCAGACAATGAAACTATGGTCAGTTTTGATGTGCAGTTTCTGTTCACATGCTTACCTGTTGAAGACTGATCTCAGTTGTAACTAGAAGGCTGGAAGAGAACAACATGTCTACGGGCAGGTTGTATTCTTCCAGCCTTCTAGTTACATGAGTCTTACCACATAGCAAAATTAGATTTTTATAAACAAAATTTTAATTATAAAACAAAATTATGAACTGTATGACCGAGTTGTTTCTGGTGTCAATCTTGTATAGCACTCTTATATACGATTAATAATGTCGAAATCTTGCAAACTAGGGAATGTGCAGAATATGCACAAAAAAGGCAGCTGTGTCGACGCTGCTAACTATCGCTTGATATCAATTACCTCCATGGTCTTTTTTTATAGGATAAGGGTGACAAACGAGCACACAGTCCACCTGATGGTAAGTGGTTTCTGTGGCCCAT